ATGGATACCAGGTTCTGCTTCTATGACAAACATTCCCCTCACACTTCACATGCCGAAATGTGAACACAAGCCAAGTTAGGACATGTCTTTCCCACAGGACCCAATTCACATGTGTAAGTTGTGCATTTTTTTTTTCCATTTTTAAAATATTGTTTTCAGAACGGTGCAGTTGGAGATATAGTTTGATTAAACACACACACACACATCAAAAAGACAGTTTAATGAAAATTGTATAAATCAATTTTAATTCTCAACTAAGAATCCTGCAGCACCAAAAAAGGCTGAGTAGACAAGTCACTGCCGACATGGTAAACGCCTTAATAGCAAAGATATTTTCAGTGCTTGTGCAACAGTCAATATTACTAAAGTCCTTAAGGAATGCAGCTGCTTTCACAAACTGATAAGTCTGTAGACTGTGGCTGTCTTTCACTCGGTGCCAACATATGTTTGAAGATTTCAGAGCAGATGGGAATGTGAGCCCGTTGAGTGGGAAGACAAACCTGAAACTTGTCACCTTGGAAACGATGAACATGGTGATGGAAGTGACCGTTAACTCCTTAGAGAGCCCACAATATATGGAACAAAGATGTACAGTCGAGTATACCGTAAAAATGTTCTTCCAGCTTTAACCAAGACAAACCATATTCCTTGGTTCTCACTTTATTTGGGTAAGAGTGAAACCTGTGATGCACTCCACCTCTGAAAGTGTAATTATCCACATTAATACACGTATGTACAAGGGAAATTGTATATATAAAACACAATGGCAAAGGATTTAAGTGCAGAATATCAATGTGTGTCACAAGCCCTTCTAAAAAACACCAGAATATGTATTGTATAGTTTTTACAATTATACTGACAAAGCCATTAAGCTGAAGTGGCCCTGTGGAGAGGGAACGAACTTTCTGTACTCACCCTGTACTGTACAGTATGTCGTGCAAAAGCACATAACAGGGCACTGAATGTATAGTACATGGTGTGGCTGCTGACTTCTGCCCAGCTGGTATTTAGATGTTAGTGAGGGAAAAGTAGCAGAGGTTCAGATTACTTCACCTCGACTAACCCTACCCCTAGAATAAAGCCTGGTCTGTTTGTCATGCAGAGCAGCGAACTGTTGGTTGACTGGCATTCATGTTTCTTTTCAGATTCAAATTATCTGACAGGTTCAGCCTGCCCATTAAAAGCCAATGTGGATGTCTAACTTTAAAACAAAAGCAGAATTAACTAATAATAGTGGGCCTTTTATTGGGTTGATATTTTGAAGATTTCTTATGCGTGGCTTTTGACACCTGGCATGAAGGGGAACATGTAAGCAGTTTCTAGTCTAGTAGGCCATGGAGGAACGCGATGCAGAATTCAGTGATGAAACTACTGGTATGAGAAACACAACAGAAAATGAGCACTTGTGCAGCACCTTGTCCACAAATGTTATGGTCAGACAAGACACTGACCTTTTAGCCCCGCATTGAAACAACAGTGGGAATACCTGTATTGTCACGTGTGATCAAACTCATCTCACGTGAACCTGAGCGCTCAGACAGACCGTATTTTAAACCTTGCCCCATCACTTCTTTTTTTCCTCCAAATCTTCTACTGCCCCCCTTTTCTGCCTGTGGTCAAGGCCAGTTTGCTTTAGGACAGGGATAACTGCATTGTAACACAGAGTTACCCTCAAAAGATACGCAGAAAAGCATCCCAGCAAACGTACTTGTCAAGACCTCTTCACGTGGATTCTGTTCCTACATACTGACCAGGACTACCGGCCTCTTTCTCAGAAAGCACTCCTGCACTGGTCCTGCATTACACCTCCACTCATTATTTGCCAGATCTTTACCCACTTCCAGAACAAACATAGGCACGGGGTCATTGGGGTCTACTACACAATGTACGGACACCGCTCACGGACACGAGAGCATTGAAATGGAGACGACTCACCTCCAGTGCCAAGCACCTTGAGCAGTTCGAAATTCTCAATTCCCACTTTCTCCGCATGGCCCGTCAGGTTCGCTGGAAAAGAAAAGCCAGACCTTGGTCAAGCAGGCAAGCTCAATCGGGCTTCCTCACTCGCATGGGGTCCGAGAAACAGCAATATGTGCAGCCCCAGCCACTTACAGCCTTCTTGCAACATATACTGTGGAACTACACTACGCACGGCAAACTATTGTAAAAATCGATTGTTACCGTTTTGTAGATACAGAAGCAACTCGTTTTCCATGTTAGATGACCGCAATTCCCTGACCCAGTAAGCACTGACAGTCTACACTATCATTAGGAGAGATAAAAGCACATGGTTAAGCTGCTTATGTGAAGCTTTACTGTAATGTCTCTCTCTCTCAATGGGTTACAACTAGATTCAAGCAATCGGAAGTAACCCGGAATTAACGTCACTGCTAACCTGCCTTCTTTAGCTTCTCATAATTTGGAGCTTACAAAAGAGGAAGCCTAAGTGAAGGGCGGATGAAGGCAGGGGCAGCCATGGAGAAATATACATTTTAGGAACCCTAATCTGCATGCTGGTCAATCAAGGAGACGTTCTCCCTGCCTGGTAATTTACTTAAAGTAAATGCAATATGAGCTTGTAGAAGAAGCACAGCCACCTGCTGCTATTGTCCTATTCTGCTACAGTAAATCCCCAGTCTAAACACTGCTTATATTTCTCAGTGGTCTTCTATTAACATACAACCTCCCTGGCCTAACAATAAAGCCAGTGCAGTGCAGGTGACAGAACTGAAATGGAAAAAACAGAAATAGAAGTTGACTAATGCAGTTTACTTGTACGGATTACATTTAATATGTTACAGGGTAATTTATCTAAATGACAACAGGAGAATCATCTTCACACACTTGAGGAGACACCATTAAATATTAATTATCACAATATAAAAGTCTGGTTAAGGGCGATGCCTTATTATTTAGTAGCCATTGTTCAACAAACAAATGCTGAAGATATGAAGCTCTATGTTCACGCCCACACGTCCCTGCTGTTGGTAGCCAATTAATGAACAGCATCTTCAGCCAGGTACCCTCAAAGCAGCCAAGCGAACACTTCCCCTAATCACAAAAGGATCTCGACTTAAGACTTCATTTGCACTCAAAAGCATGGATTGTGCGGAACAAGGAACTGTACCTCCAGATCAAATGAAAGGAAATGAAAAAGAGGAGCTGCCTGAGGGCAAATTGCAAAAGGCCCTCACTTCCTCTTGAGAAACGATCATGTGCATGAAAATACACAGGATCACAGGGCAGGAGACGGCTCTGGAAGGGCCTAAGAGAACACATCCAATAGTCACACGGCACTCTTCTCCCTGACACGTGCTCTCTGCACCTCCAACCTGCCAACATCAGTCAAGACTTCCCATACCTCCAGCTCCTGGCCACAGACCTTCTTATCGCCATCGCCGCACATTCATGGTATATAAAATACACAGTGGGCGGAGCGGTGGCACTGTGGCTAAGGATCTGCACCTGTGGCTGGAAGGTTGCTGGTTCAAATCCCGCAGCCGGCAGAGGAACCCTACTCCCTTGGGCCCCTGAGCAAGGCCCTTAACCCCAACTGCTCCAGAGGCACCGTATAAATGTCTGACCCTGCGCTCTCACCCCAAGCTTCTCTCCCTGTCTCTGTGTCTCATGGAGAGCAAGCTGGGGTATGCGAAAAGACGAATTCCTAATGCAATTGTATATGACTGATAAAGTGATTGATCTTTTCTTAAATGCCTTTGGAAACATACAGTCCTGTGTGATACAACATAATAACATATTATTTGACAATAAGATCATCATCAATTTCAACCTGGAATTATGTCCCCTCAAACATTTTGTGATATCTCTGGAAGTTAATAAAGTATAAGCCTGGTTGATGGCTTAAATGCATGCAGGACTGAGTGGTCACTGATCACAAGCTTAAAAACATCTGGGAAACAGGGCTCAGACATAAATTTCTAGCAAGTTTCATTGTAAATACCCCTGGTTGCAGCACACAAGGAAAAACAGGAAAGATCTGGGGTTCTTGTGCTATATAAATGTGTAAGAATTTAAATCACCATAAGAAGCTTTACAAGGATGTACCGCTACCCCTAGTGTCTTCTTTTCGTTTGCCTAACCTAAAAACCACCTGAGCACTGCCACACAGGAGATCCCAACTCATTTCTCATGTCACATTCCTGCTGCAATCCAAGTGGATTTTCCAGGAACAGCATTAATACAGAACGGGGGTCAGATTAAAGTTTGCGACCTGTATCACTTCTGAAAATATTTTCTGTCCCTTGCCGTTTCCTCACAGCGATAATCTGGAACAAGTCCCAGGTTCAATAAGAACTTGAATCCAGCAGGCAAATGTGAGTCGTCACTCATTTTAACACCTCTACTCACACCCATTAAAAAACTGATGATAATCTTTTCGTAAACATGCTGTTCTGCTAAGACTACTGTGAGATCTGATCCTGACTTCTCATGTTGTTTGACTTTAACACGAAGGCCTACTGTTGCTTGAATGTCACAATGACAAGACCACTGAGCTCACAAATGTGGTTCAAATTCAGTTTGTCAAACAGGAAGAAAGATTTTCACCACTCGCTTCACCTTTACAAAATTGAGCTGTTTCATAAGGAGCCACTGCTGTTTTGCTTTCTGTATGAAGAGAACAGATATTTGATGTGTTTATTGAAAATCCACAACTGCACTGCCGGTACATTAAATCCCTTACAAGACAATAACACATTTGCAGGAACAGCAGCTTGGGACTGATTTCAGGTACATCAGAAGATCTGTTCTCATTTGTGACATCAACAGGAGACAATACAAAAGAAGTCAATAAAGCACCTGAAATGAATCATGCAATCTCAAAAGAAATAGCAGCAGAAATTCAACATATGATTGCTGACTTCAAAGCCATTAACTGTATTCATTTTATTCTGCATTCACTTAACTTGCACTGTAAAGTGCTGCTTTTCAATTTATGCTGCTTTCATGCACATACTCATTTAACATCTCGTTTTTCTGAAACACTTAGATCTCACTGTTTTTTTGTATGGTCTACCTTATGTGTATTCAAGTAAAATATGTATTCTCTTTATGGCTGTATTTTATGGTTAAGGGTCTGATCAAGAATGGCAGCACAGAGGCAGAGTGGTTAGCATTGCTGCCTTGCAGGACTGGGATTAATTCTGGACCTGGGGGGCCATCTAAATGGAGTTTGTATGCTCTCCCTGTGATGCACGGGTTTCCTGCAGGTGCACCTTCAGGAGTTCCAAAGACATGCTGGCAAGTTAATTGGCTTCTGGGAAAATGACCCTAATGTGGGTGTGTGCATGTCAGTGTTTGTGTCTCTGTGCGATGCATCCCACCTTGTGCCCCTTGATTGCCAGGATAAGTTCCATCTGCCCCGTGACCCTGTATTGGATAAAACAGTTAAAAACTGGGAGAAACACTTCCTTCAGCATTGTGCAGTTTTCATCATCTATAGCACTTCTACTGAAATCTTTGCATCACACTGCGCCCAGCAGCTAGGATCAATCGCTGCTGAAGCAGACACACTAACCTCCCCTCCTTCTGAATCGGTCACACACTGGCAGAAGTGACAGACCCAGACGGAGCAATAGTGGGACACAGCTGATCACTAAAGGGAGACTTTTGAGAGTGGGCACAGTGCTTACTTACAAATTCCTCTTCTAAACTCAGACTTCTCATTTGCAAAGGTCACACTGCAGCTTGGGAAGGGAATGCCTAAGTTCATTTAATGCTTCCTTTAAGCGGGCTTCCTTCCAGAAGGATGCCTTACACACTTTAAAATAATGGAATTTGCATAAATCTTGCTGGCAGACACTCCTTTTTGTATATTTGTGAGGTCAGAGGCTGTACCAGTATGGCCAACATGCTTATTTTAATGCACACGTGTATTCCATTGGGTTCTCCATACATCCAATTACAATTTCATATGGAAAAAGTTAAACCAGACAGGATGGCGAGCTGTGAAAGTAATTCAAGAAGGAGTGAAAAGGCAAAAATAAAACCCCAGTGCCAGCAAAGAACAAGGCATGCTTTAATTTACTAAAAAAATATCACAGAACAAACAGTTTCTTACTTCTACTGAAGCAGAATAAGCTATTATATATTTGCTTCAGGCCATAATTACTAACTGAACAAAAGCGGTCATACAGAGTTCCAACAAAGAGCACAGAGCTGAACCCATTTCCATTTTTGTTTTCTTGTGAGCCTTACAAAATGCGCCTTTCTTCTGGGCTCGGTTTGCTTATTAATTAATAAACACTGTGCAAACACCAAAGTACACAAACACATTAGCTGCCAGTATCTGCAGTGACAACAGCCGCAGGACACTTCAGAGCCAGCTCAAGCCTCTGCTGCAGCAGCGTGCTTTTTCGAACGAAAAGGAGAGTAACTGCACTTACTTGTCAGCGGCTCACTGAAAAAGTGAGCCATCTGAGCCCCGTATTTTAAACGCTGACAATGCAGGTATAGCAGAAATACAAAGACAGCAGAGTGCAGTGACAGCTGTGGTGGTATTCAGGCAGGACATGGGCTCCTCTTCATCCTGTGCTGCCTCTCACTACAGAGCTCTGGTCCACAGCACTATCGGATGTGGGTGCCCTCTTCCTCTCTTGAGCTCAGAAGTGCTGATTAGAACTTTCTCTCTCACATGAGGCTAACTTCAACTGCAAGCAGCTCAGTGGAGAACCAGGGAGATAATACAACAACAAGCAACCTATGGCATGCCCCAAATCATGAGGGCCACAGGACAAATGACAGCTAAAATTCCTTTTAATGGTCAACTCTTGATCTTACCAACAATATTCTAGGTGAGTGGACTACTGTGGATCTGTAGCAGCTCCTCTGATAGCACTTTTAGTCCAAGGTGCTTGCGGTCTTGCATCCAGAGCAAGAAAGGACCACCTCCCTCGCACATCTGTTCAGCAGCTTCTGTCTGAGGAGCAGTTGAGTCCAGAGGGCTTCAAAAAACCCATCTCGCAAATTCAATTATTTCTGACAAAAGT